CCTTTGCCTCCCAGCTCTTTCCTCTATTTCCCTTGACTTTCCTCCTGTCCCACTATCATGCTCAGTCCCCACCAGGGTTTCAGCAGCTCCTCCTTGTTACAGTCCCCTTGATCATGCCCTACCAGGCCTCCCACACCCACCTCACCACCAATTTGGATCACTTGTTGCTCCCTTGCACATCAATATACTTTGTTTGGGATCTTTTGATGCCTGACACCTGATCCTGTCAACACCTCATGATCACACAGGCTGGTGTGCTTCTTCCATGTGGGCTCTCTTATTTATACTGTTCTTCCCTTCTGTTTAGATTTTAACCTTGTTTCACCCACTTTTCTCTTTGCTATCTATAAGGGTTTTTTCATATGTCTCAATTTATGTACAAAATATCTGTGTTTGGGCAGGAGAGTGTCGTTGATTGGTTCCAGTGTGAAAATAACTGAATCACACTAATAAAATGTATAACTGATCATTCACTAACAATCATTTTCCTGTTCATGTCTATGATTCTACAGTCTCCTTAGCCCATTGTATTCTTCACTCTGCTTCATGTTGGGAAAATAAAGTGGCGGGCCTGGAAATGGACAAGGGAATTAGCAAGCAAGATAACACTAACATCAATCAATATGAAGATCTCAAAATATATATTGAGAATGTTGTGATAGTTACGTTTATTGTGCCAACCTGGCTGATAAACACATGTGGGATTAATTGAAGGGTGGAGAGATAAATGACTCAGTGAGCCTCACCTTTTTTATTTCTTGCTCTCTGATGGTTGGACCAGTGTGCGGCTGCCTTAACTAGTTCTCTGCCTCAGCTGGCAAGGCTCACTTCCTGTGAGCCATCCCTGAGGAGAAGTCACATGCACCTACTTCAATGCAGCCCTGGGTGCTAGAGAAGCCAAGTGGAGACTCCTGCCAGTTCTGAGAAGCTTACAACGCCACTGGATTCAAAGCCTTTGTACTCGGTGGTCTGTGATCGCCCTGTATTCGGGGTCATTGCATGTGTTTTGTGAGATTGAGGAGGACTTTGTAAACCGGTGTTGGACATATGGGCTAATGTTAGACTTATGGGCTTGGACTGGACTGAGTTGGAATGCTTTCTGAATGTACACTTACCCTTTATATAAAACTCTCTCTTATACACATATGAGTTTCTGTGGATTTGTTTCAGTCTACCCAGAATAACACAAATGTCAAATACCAAATGCAAATGCCTTCCATCTCCAAAAATTTATTAAGCATTTATAGTAATCATGCATTTGATTGCTGCAACTATCAACGTGATGAAAAGACCGGTACAAGGAATTAAGTAAAGAATCATAGAATTCGCCACTCTTCCAGTACAAGTTATAGATTTTCTTTCTTTCATATTCTGGGAAAATTTGATTCAATAGAATTCTTAGAAACTGATTAATCATTTTATTAAAGAAAAAAATCAGATGTGGCATTTTATTTAAGCGTGACTTGCTCATGGATCATCTAACACAGGCATACAATGAATGATCAGCATTGTGCTATTTTTTCACAAACTAGCAGTTTAACTTTCAGGAGGTTTTAAGTTGAGGAGAAACCCACCCTTTCTCTGAAAATGTCTTTTTAAGCAGAATTTTAGCGTCACTGGCTACTTTATCCAGCATATAAAGCTGCAAAAATAAGGTATTTCTGAAGTAAAAACCCATAGCAAGGAGGCCTCCATTAGCTGAACAGAATTTTTCCACCCATTGTAAAAATCCTTTTGATGCTGATTCATTTTTCTCTTTTTCCAACAAACGTGGAGATTCAATGACTGACTTGAGTTGCTCCACAGGAACTTTCGAATAGGTAGCTAATTTTTGCAAAGATGCATCATCCACCCCAAAGAGGGCTCGGTATTCATTTAAACTATTCTCCACCTTCTTTTTATCATAATCGCTGGTGATACCAAATGGCAAGGTAGCCCACAACGCATTTTTGAATGCTTCTAGCCAGACCTTCTGTTTCAGAGAATCTCTTTTACTTTCAATGACTTCCTCAGTAACGTTGGGCAGGGAGAGCATAAAAATATGACGCTTTTGAGTAGAGAGATCATTTAGGATTTTGTTCATCAGGATTGGGACGTCATACTCAAACACCTCATCGCTGGATATCAAGAAGATTGGGGGTTTCTCCATCTTAATCTGTCTAAAATCTTGCAGACAATTGTTTCGAATCTGCTCCAGGAATTTTTCTTGGTCAAAGGTTTTTGGTTTCTGTTTCTGTTCACTCTGTAAATCGATGTCTATCTTGGATCTAACGAAATAGAAATGTTTTCCCAAATCTTTGATTGCCTTGGCAAGTTGTACATCAGTATCCTTGAAGCGTGTGGAAGAAATGATAATAAAGAAGTCATATTCGCCAAATTTGACTTTCTTTAAATACTCCTGTGGTGGGAAACTAGTGGTCCCAATGCCGGGCAAGTCCCAAAATATCACAGTGGGAAACTTTGGGTGCTGGTATTTAGTCGGCTCCATGGTTGTCTCTACCACACCAGTGTCAGCTGATTGCTCGTCTCCTGGCTTAACACCTCGAAGGGCGTTGATGAAACTAGACTTCCCTGAACCAGACTCTCCAGTCACAGCAATGTTCAGAGTGGCATTCGTAACTTTCTTCAATACAGAATTGATTATAACACCCATGCTGTCAGTGTGCCCTGCTTCCAGTTTTGATGTGATCAGTTTGATAGTTTCCTCAGAGATGATTTTGTTTATCATATTGAAATTTGTAAAATATGTTTTCATGCTAGAGGCCAAATTTTCAGTTTCGTCAGTATCAGAAGAAAACAATTGACCCATGTTGCAGAAAGGACCTAAAGGAAGGAAGGGAGAGGGAAGTTAAGAAAGAAGGCTCTATACTGGAAAAAGGCCTTTGGGATTTGCTCTTATCTAAATACCATTTTCAGTATGTCCTAACATAGTTTTTGTATATTTTAGTCTTATCCTATTTAAATATTATGGGAACTATCTTTGTGTGTGTGTGTGTGTGTGTGTTCAAAATATATGTGTACATTTTAAAAAAAAACATTTTATTAGGGGCTCATACAACTGTTATCCCAATCCATACACACATCAATTGTGTAAAGCGCATTTGTACATCGTTTCTCAAAACATTTTCTCTCCATTTAAACCCCCGACATTAGGTCCTCATTTTCCCCCTCCCTTCCCGCTCACCCCTCCCGCATGAGCCCTTGATAGTTTGTAAATGGGTATTTTGTCATATCTTGCCCTGTCCGACGTCTCCCTTCACCCACTTTTCGGTTGTCTGTCCCCCAGGGAGGAGGTCACACACATTTCCATGTAATCGGTTCTATGGGAACTATCTTATGGAAATTTAAATCTTATACACAAATGGAAGGAGAATACTCAATAAATCGGTGTGTCCTTTGGCCTGTTCAGCAATCATCAATTCATGCCCGGTCCTTACTCATCTAAGCTCCACTGAATTCATTTAAAGAAAATCCAAGATAACCTATCCTTTTATCCATAAAGACTTCAACTTTTAACTGTAGAAAATAAAATATGTTAATTAGTATAACCTCAGTACTATTATCACATTTAAAATTCAACCAAAATACCTGTCATCAACATTCGATCTGTGATTAAATTTGTCCTACTGCACGTAGATTCCCTCCCACCCACCCCTTTAAAAAAAAAAACACTTTTATTGGGCACTCTTACATCTCTTATCACAATCCATAAATTCCTCCAGTGTGTCAAGCACATTTGCACATTTGCTGCATCATCATTTTCAAAGCATTCTCTTCCCACTTGAGCCCCTGATATCCGCTCACCCTTTAAAAAATAATTTTGGCTAGAATTAAGATGCAAAAAGAAAAACCTCCCCCCAAAAACCCACACACTGTATTTTGGTGAGACATATCCTAGATGGCATTAATTTTGTTTTACACGGGCACCATTCTTGACTTTGCAACCCATGTTCCTTAGTAATATTCTCGCAGGAATACTAATCAAAATTATATCATACAAAGCTTGTCCATTCCTCCCCAGAAGCACTTAAATTCGCTTCTTGCTTGGTCCAGGAAGCTGCTCTCATTGTGCCTGTGTGCTGCTCCTGCTGCCCTATCTGCCAGCACTACCTCTCCATACAGGGATCTCAGATGCACTTTGCTCTTGGCTCCTTTGCTGATAGTTGTGAAATTCTTCTTCCTGCTTCTGAGATGGCTTATTTTATATCCAGCAGAATGGCAAAGCTGACTAATCCCAATGTTAGAGCTCCATAAGCCTTTTTGCATGCTCCCACCCAGTCACTGGTAGGAGTTACAAAGACTATGCATAGAAGAGCCATACCAAATAATTCAAGACCATCACATAGCTCCATTGAGAGAGTGGGGCCCAGGATTCTGATAACGTCAGATCAACCTTTAGGGAAAAAAGCGGCTGTTCTTCCAGCTATAACTCACCATGAGTATGAGCCAACATAAGCATAGAGATTCACTGCATGAGGAGTCCTTGTCTAGCATTCAATCTAAGAAAGTTACACAGATAAGAAGAACTACAGAACCCTGTTCACTGAGTGCAGATAGCTGGGTTCCCGAGTCCCGGTGTTAAGATCATCTTCCACAGGTCTACTCCCTGCTGTGGTGCTTGCTTAAAAACAAAACAAATCAAAGAATTGTTGATACAAAGAATAAACTCCTCATATATAAAAAACAAAGTCAGTGCAGTTTACCCTTTGGGATCCATAATTTATTTTTTTTGGTGGGGGGAGTCCATAATTTTATCAAGCACTCCTTTGAGCTCTTGAGAATGTTACTTGTTAATAATAGCGTCCTTACCTGGATAGAAACATGATTTAAAAGAAAACAAAACTCAATGCCATCACGCTGATTCTGATTAACAGGGACCCTATCAACAGAGTAGAACTGCCCTAACATGTTTCCAATGATGTAATTTTTATGGAAGCAGACTTATTTTTCTCTTGCATGATAGAGGCCTACGTAAAAGAAAGAAGACAAAAGATTATATTAGGAATAGTAAAGTGTGCAGTGGCTCAGCCTAACAGTAGACCTTAAGGTCTCAATTTTAACCCCCAAACTAACTGCCGTTAAGTCAATTCTGACTCATGACCTTATATGAGAGTTTGGAGACTGTAAATCTGTTATGGGGCAGACAGTCTCATATACTTTCCTGAGAAGCAGACAGTGCATTTGAATAGCTGATATTGAAGTTAATAGTCCGTCACCTAACACAATGCCAGAGATCCTAGGCTATTGAATATGGTGTGGAAGGCCACCTCTGAGAGTTTCCATGTATAAAATAATAAACTATACCTTTAAGACAGAGTCCCAGAACATTAACACACAAAGCTGATCATTCAGTTGCTGATGAAGCTGAGAACAATGGCTCTCAAGTGGGGAAGTTTTGTTCTGTACACAAAATTTGGCAGTATCTGAAGACTTTTTTGTTGTTCTCCCACCTGGGAGATGGAGGATTTAGTAGCATGACATAGGTAGAGGCCAAAGCTACTTCTAAAAATCCTGCAATGTATGAAACAGTCTCTTCCACCCTACAAAAACAAGAATCACCTGGATAAAAATCTCAATAATGCCAAGGTGGAGAAACCATGCACTGTTCGTGATTGAGCAATGCAGTTACAGCTCCTTGTGGGCCTCCCAGCATAGTACAGTGGAGGAATCCTGGGGTACTGAGTACAGGACAAAGCACTATGTGGGAAGAAATTCTCCTTCTCAATATGAGGTCTGGTTGGAGGGGATTCGTTATTGGTGATGCCAAGTATTAGACTGAAAAGAAATAGGAACCTTTAAGAAATATGAAGGAGTTTATTCGATGCATCATAGTGGACAGAGGAATTGAGATTTAGGCAAATATTGATACTTTTGCTTATACCTCTGCAATGCAGTGAATTTCTGGATCTGGATGGTCCTTGTAGCTATAATCTTTGTAATCACCACCAAATGATTGAGTGGGGCTTTGCAAATGAGGTGCTCATGGTCAACCAAGGGGATTGGAAAGCTTGCTAATAATATAAATAAAGTGTGTGGCGCTGAGACAGACTAGCACCAGCCACTGTAATGCCATCTTGTTGACTACGGAATGACTGCCTCCTTCCCCCTCCCATCTTGGAAAGTCCCACTAATGACTGATTTTAGAATATACATTTATGTTCTTGAGATCAGAACATTGTAATTAATAACAGTGTTCCTTTTGATGTTGTAAACAAGGTATTACTATTTTTATTTTATTAAACAGGATTTCATAACCAATGCTGTACCCTATAACACTCACTAACCCTAAAGAATAATAACAATGATTTTGCTTTCTGCTTCTGTCCATGCTTGCTTAAGTCCTAGACAAATGATAAATAAGTTTTTGTCTTTAAAGTTGGACTAAAATGTCCACTCTGAACTGCAATCATTGAGTTGCTTTTTGATTCTCACAGTCCAGTTACAACCAAATAAAAGACTCTTCTAAATTTCAAGACATTATAGTGGGTGTCATTTGAACACACAACATTCTGGTGTGTTGGCTGGGAAAGCCACTGGCCTGGAAATGTCTGCTGGCAGCTGCTCCTGGAAGTGTGGGACCTCTAGAGGAGGCGCCCTGATAAAATGTTCAGGACTCCAGGCTCCTTACTCTCCCAGTTGAACAGCTGTCCAGGGACGCTGGAATTTGGCTTAAGTCTTCTGTCTGAAACCTCTGGAGGAAAAGCTGTCTGTGAGGCCGGACTCATCTGTTTGGCTGGAGTTAGGAGTTGGATGCGACCCTAACTCCCCTCAGCCCCTTCTCGCTAGGATGCTGCTTGGGAAGCCTGGGACATTGTTAATGAGGCTGCTTGTGTTTACAAGCTGCTGCTTACAGGTCTGGTAACTATGGAAATATGGCTAGCCATGGCAGTCTGTCTTTTTGTGTAAATTGTTTGTCTTTTTGTGCTGTCTGTCTGGTTGTTTGCCTTTTTGCGTATGAGCATCTTTATGGTTCTCCTTCAACCCTTCTGTGTCTCCTCCCTCCTGGTGACTGGGCTGCTGGCTGTTAGCCTCGCAGTCACGCACCAATTGGACGTCTGGACAAAACTTTTTCTTTTGTCTCTTGCTATCCTTGTCTTTGTTGTTAGTAAGTTTTAAGTGTTGGCTAAAAGTTAATCAGGAAAAAACAATTTTGTTTTATAAATTTAAAACCTTTGTGTGCTATTTTTTTTTTAAAGAACATTGAGGGTTTTATCCACAAAACTGGGATTTGAATGGACTACGTGAATAGATCATTAATCTAACCAGCCAGGGCACTTGGCAGAAGTTTAAGCCTTGGGACGTGGATTTCTTTGTGTTTGTGCTTTGTTTTTATTGTAAAAATGAATAAAAATTTTAAACCGCCTATACAGGAAAGTCTGGTTTGTTCACAGTTTTCCTGGCTTTCATTTCTTTTGGTTTAATTTTTTGCACTGTCCTTTTCATGTTGCGTCCAAGGATCTCTTTCCTTACTAAATGTTTGCTGTATCTGCTTTGCAGCGTTGATGAAAACAGATGGCCTGTCAAGCTCTGTGTTTTGCAGGACTTTGAGGTTTGGGAATCGGAATGTTTTTGAATGGATAATTCATCTTTGCCTCCAAGAAACACTTTGTAAGTTCATCCTGTAAAAGAAGCTTTTCTTTACTTTTTTCTGGTAGCTGTGCCTATCTTTTCTTCAGAAGGGAGCTAATGGTTTTTAATTCAAAAAATTATGTAGATGTGTTTTTGCATCTAATTAAAGCTCTAACCTGGGGGTCAGGCGAACACCTGAATGGTTTCACTTTAAGTGAAAACCCCTTCCTATTTGTCTGC